CGAACCCCTCGATCGCTGCTGCAACTGTCTTCAGGTCTTCAGTGCGCTCCCAACTGATCTCTTCATCTGGGAGCCTTCTCCACTTGACTAGGAATTCATGTACGTCCCTTCGTGGTTTTCCTACTCGACGTGTTCGTTCAGCGAGGATTGACTCAATTTCTTTGTCAACCTTGTTTGTCTACGTGACTGCTGGACGAGTTATCTCATTTCGTATGGGGTCGACGATGTCTAGATGGTAAGGCTTCAGGTTGCTCACATGGATCACTGGATGTATTTTCATCCACTAGGGTAGTTGTACCCTATAAAATGTCTTGCCCACCTTCTCAAGGACGTTAACTGGTTCCTCGTATTTCCGTACAAGGTTTTGTTCCCTCGGAAGCGAAGTTGTTCAAGTCTCAACTTGACAAGGACTTGATGTCCTGCTTGGAATTCTAAAGGTATGCTGCTTCTTGTCCACCCACTTTTTCATATGTTTAGATGCCTTCTTGAGATATGCTCGGGCCACTTCGGTGGACTGTCACTATTCCTTGTGAAGTTGTAAACTTGAGGGCTCTTTCCGACGTAAGGGTGGTCAACAATATGAGGCAACACAGGTTGTCGCCCACACACGATTTCGAAAGGGGTTCTTCCGGTGGTGGTGCTCTTTTGGCAGTTGAAACAGAATTGAGCCTCGTCAAGCATCTGGATCCAGTTCTTTTGTCGGGCATTAATAAAATGGCAGAACGTTTTAGTATACTGCATTACGTCGTCTCTCAGATTTGGCGAATAGTAACCTTTCTTTAGCAGGGCATATGTTCTCTGCCATCCAACGTGTCCTGCCCACACCGTGTCGTGACACTCTCCGAGTAGAAGCTTCCTCTGATTCCTAGAATGAGGAACATACAAACGGTTGCCCTTTATGAAGAGGAGGTCGTTCTCGACCCAAAACTGCCGAGTCTTCCCTTTGTTGGCCAACTGAATTATTGATTGGGCAACTGGATTGTTTTGTAAGTTCTCTTTGATGACTTCACGAATGGATCCTGTCAACTTACTCGTTTTCAGGTGAGCTAACATGCACAGGGCTGCACGTTCGCTTTTTCTGCTAAGGGCATCTGTTGCTTCATTCGCCCGACCTGGCTTATGCTTGAACTGAAAATCAAATTTGACAAGGTACTCTTGTCATCGAGCCTGCTTTGATGATAACTTCGGTTGATTGAAGAAATGGCAGATTGAACTGTTGTCGGTCTTGACAACGAATTTGGCCCCTAAGAGATATTGTCTCCAGGCCCTCAAGCAGTAGACTACTGCTAACATCTCTTTCTCGGAGGCAACATACCTCCTTTCTGCATCATTCAACTTTCGGACTCTCGTATGCAATGAGGTGGCCGTCTTGGAGAAGCACTCCTCCCAGAGCAATGTCTGAAGCATTAGTCTCAACTTCAAACGGTCTTACAATATCTGCAATCCCCAACACCAGCCCCCTCCATCATTGTTTTTTTCAAACTCTCAAATGCAGCTTGACATTCTGAGGTCCAATTCCACGATTGATTCTTCTTTAGTAGCTCAGTCAAGGGTCCTACCCTTTTCGAGAATCCTTCTACAAATCGTTATAGTAGTTGGCTAGACTGAGAAATGAGCGTAGTTCTGTGATGGATGTTGGCACTTTCCATTCTTGAATGACTTTGATCTTTCCATCTTCTATGCCTATTCGGCCACATTCTATGGCATAGCCTAAGAAACTAATACACTCTTGAGCGAAAGAACACTTTTCTCACTTGACATAGAGCTGGTTCTGCCTGCGTTTCTCGAAAACAAGTTGTAAGTGTATCCGGTGTTCTTTCATGGTTGGGCTGTAGACAACTATGTCATCCAGATATACCACCACAAACTTGTCGAGGTATTCGTGAAACACCTGGTTCATTAAGATGCAGAAGGTGGCGGGAGCGTTCGTGAGGCCAAAGGGCATGACAAGGAATTCAAAGGCCCCATACCAAGTGACGCAGGTCGTCTTTGGTTCGTCTCCTTCTGCAATGCGCACTTGATAGTACCCAGATCGCAGATCCAGTTTAGATAAGCATTTTGCCCCATGAAGCTGATCAAAAAGGTTTGTAATGATGGGCAAAGGGTATTTGTTGTGAAATGTGAGCTTGTTCAACGCTCGATAATCAATGCATAGGCAGAAGCTTCCGTCTTTCTTCTTCTGAAAAGGGACTAGGCGGATGAATCCAACATTCAATAATTCATCGAGTTGTTTCCTTAGCTCAGCTAACTCGGGAGGAGCCATCCGATAGGAATTCTTGGCGGGCGGTTTCGTCCCGATAACAGTTCAATCTCATGGTCTATCCCCTATCTTGGAGAGGTAGGGCCTTGGGCAGGCTATCTGGCATTACATCTGTATACAAATCTAAGACTTGTTGGATTTCTCGGGGAAGTGGTTGTTCAAAGTTTCTGTCTTCCACTACAGGAATGGCCATGAATTTTGGTTCATCATGAGCAAGACCTTTCTTTAGTTGGAGTGTCGATATCATCTTCACTCCGCTTGGTTGTTTGATACTTGTCTGAACAACCATGGGGTCGGAACCCGTTACGACCAGGCACTTAGCGAGAGGAATGGAGATGACTTTGTGTTCTAGAAGAAATTCCATTCCCAATACTACGTCAAAGTCATCAATTCGCACTGTCACAAAATCGACTTGTCCACTCCATGTCCCTAGTTTTACTAAAACTCTCTTAGCAACTCCCATGATGGGGAGGGCTGCCGAGTTAACAGCTTTCATCTTTCCTGAAAACTGCTTTACATAATCTCTAATATTTCCTGTGTGTCGCAACTCACGCAGTTTACGATGGGCAGGGATCTCTACATTCTCTGGGAAGAATTGTGATATAAGTTTCTACTTTAGTTTCTCCTAGGTGTCGATGGTACACCTGCCCTCTTGTACATCTGTATATCTCACTTTTCACCACAACTTTGCATTGTCAGCAAGATGCATTGTGGCTAGTGTGACTTTCGATTCCTCTGTCACAGTGCTTGTCGCCTTGAAATACTGCTCAAGGTCAAAGATGAAGTTCTCGAGAGCTTTAGCATCTTGGCCCCACAAAAAGGCTTGGGCTCTGGAATTTTCACCTTGTTGAACTGAATAGGTCCACCAGCTGGGGATCGATTTCCCACTGCTCTCATGATGAGATTTACTCTGGTGCCTAATTCAGTAATCTCCGCCCTCACGTCTTCAGTGGCGGCTTTAAAGTCTTCGGTCAGCTTGCTGACCATCCGATCAATAGTCTTTTGGGAGGTGTCTAGTTCTCCAACACGCTCCTCCACATGGGCGATTGAGCTCGATGAGCTTTCACCACGTTCAAGGTTATCAGTTCGCTTAACCTTGCCTTCAAGGGTCTCGACCCGAAGCATCAACTCACGTACAGCAAGCCCATCTATACGGGCATTCACGATGTCAATTTGGTCAACTTTGGTGGAGATCTCATCCAGCTGAGATTCCACATATCTAAGATTGTCAGGGATTTCCCTCAAGAACAACAGCTGTTTTTCGATCTTGACGAGTCTGTCGACATGGGATTTGCCCAACTGCTTTATCAACTAGGCTCTGATACCAACTGTCACAATCGCACTTTAACGGGACTCAGAAAGCAATTGTGCGGTACTTGCTTCCGCCCTCTAGCAAGTCAGCCAATACAAAATCGGATAGCCGGCGGCACAATGGCATTATGTCGCAACCTCCACCCCCATTCTCGAGAAAATGGTTTTGGAAAACGGGGTTAGAGAAAAAGGTTTTGGAAAACGTTTGAAAGCATTTTGGAAAGTTGTTGTAAGCCTGAATGCAAGAGAATAGATTAGCGGCAAGACAAGAATACAACGTAATGTAGGGAGGATGACTAAGTGTACCCCTATAGTAGATTCTAAGACATATTTGCTTTGGCAGACATGTACGTACAAAGTGGCGAGGAGTCACTCACCACCAAAAGTACAAGGAAAAATAAATAACATGCAAGGTATAAAAGTATGTGGAAAGAGGTTATTTTGGGCATGCGGCCACATGCAACAGGCACTGGACGAGCATGACCATGACACCTAGAGCCTAGGTAGATAATTTTTGTATAAAAACGTAATTTTCCATCATAAAGCAGCTCTAATTATTACTAAAATGTAATATATGCATGGTTAGACTATGATAAGGCAGAATGCACGAATAAAACATCATTTCGACATAAAAGCTAGCAATAACAAACTATTTCCAAGTAAAACAAACCTGAAAAGTATGAATTCAACATCTTTTTACCTTTATAGACAAGGCAATCACTCACGAATACATGAGGTATCTTGGATGAAAGTAAAATAAACGAAAAACTGAAATAAATAAATTAGAAAACTAAACTGGGAAAATGAAGTTGAAACTCAGTTGGTTTTCACCCTAACTCACTCGATTTTCAGTTGAAATATACAACTCGAGTGAACTTCATATGAAACTCGCCCGAGTTTCAATACAAATTTGCAACTCGAATGAGTTATGTATGAGTTTTGGCTTGCTATTTTGCAGTCCATAAACCAAAAAGAGATAGAAAAATTAAAGTCCAAAGTCCAAAAAAAATACTCATGTTATAAAAGAATATAGAAGCTACCCCATTAAAGCCGTTGAAAACCACGAAATGTGGGAAGTATGAACGTTGAAAGATGTTGAACCTTCAAAACATTCTACCCATGCAAACGTGGGTTGTTGAAGGGTGTGAGAAATATTTTTTTTAAGATTAGAAGAAATTGTGTTTTTGGCCTAAGTTTCTTCAATCCAGTTTCATCAGATTATTTCTGCTTCATTAAGGATAGTTTCGTACTTCCACATTCGTTGACATGTCTAAAAAAAAATTTCGTTTTGTCCATGTTTGACGACTAAGAATTAGAAATATGAAAATATGAATTTCTTTTTTTTTTTAAATCGATTTTTGCAATAACATGTCTCATTACTCGTTTTTGAATTATATCAATATTCATGGGAATCTCAAATATTCGTAGGAATCTCAAAACTAGAGGATAGTGTATGATCCTTGAGGCCGAATATTCCATCAGGTCATCAAAATCCGCGAAAAGTGTAAATCAACTGCTGCCGAACGGTGATGCGATACGTCTACGTCTACATTTCCCGGCGCCTACTCCGAACTCTGCAGAACTGAAAAGGTACAGCATGAGCTTCCGAATCCTCTCAAAGCCGCTGCGGAGCCGGAGCAGAAATCGATTATCGCCGTTCTTCTCCATTTTCTTGCGTTCATTCGCACGCATTTCCTCGCAATTCACCAGGTTCCTAAACACATTCTTCTTCCTTCATCTCTCTCTCCGTGAATTCAATCTTTCCGCAATTACTTGATACTTGGGGTGATTCTGTTTGCGATTCATGTGGTTGTTTTTGTAGCCCTACGTTTGGCATTGCGTTCGACATTGATGGCGTGCTTCTCCGCGGCGATGCTCCTATTGGAGGCTCTCCACAAGCTCTCAAAAAGTTATATGACGATTCTGGTATGATTTCTTTGTTCTCGGACATGCCCAGATGTTGAAATAAATGTTTGATATTCTTTCCTGCAAAGTACCTCCAGAAACCTTTTGGGACTGACCTGCCCTTAAATATCTTTTCCTTGGCAGGTGTGTTAAGGATTCCTTATATTTTCCTGACAAATGGTAATTCCTTGATCTTATTATAATTTTCAATTCGATGTACGGAAAATAACTAGGGTTGCTCAAGAAGATCATTGTTCATCTTGGTGCTGTGACAGAATGAGTGGTGATTATGAATTACTATTATAATTTGTATTTGACCTTTTTATATTGGGCACATTTTCCTGACAAGCGTAATTCCTCAGTCGTATTCTAATGTTCAATTTGATGTATATGAAATGATTAGGAGTTATTCTACAAGATTGAGTCATTGTTCATTTGATATTTCGTAACAGAATGATTGGTCATTATTCGTTACCATTATAATTTATGATATCCTCTGGACTAGTAAACATTCATTTCTATGCACAAACACAGTCCTAATATGTACATATATAAAGACACACATGCACATTTATATTCACACACATACTAAATGGCTACGTTGTTGGATGCAATGGAAGGTGGTAGGCTAAGATTTTGAGTCCTATTACACTTGCTCAATTTCTAATCAGATCAATTTGTAGTTTAGATTACAAGGGGTGGGAAACCTTCCAAGAGTTTTAGAAAATTTTAAAGTTAATTATCCTGGGAAATGGCAACCTAGAAAACAAGCTAAACAACCAACTAGAGGTTTTCTTCTTATTCCTTGCTTCAAAATGATTTATTTCAAACTGCTTTTTGGCCCCTGATTGAGAATATAAATAATCGTGTTTACAACTTCTGTCCACAAATAATTTAGAAGGTCTTTGCCTTTCGCATTGCCATTTCCACAATTGCCTWTCTCATTTACAAATCTTTCCACTATCTTCCAATTAGGGAATCTGATCACCGTATTTTTCAAATTTAAAGTAAGAAGACCTTTGCCATAAAAATGATCATATCATAAATGCTACATGTAAGAAATTTCTGGACTTTGGCTTTTAGAGCAATATTCTTCTCTAATGGCATAAGAAGAGGAAAAGTTTGTTTACCGTCATATCAAATTTTACCTCCTGGATTATATATTTTCTTTGTTTCATAAAATGCATTTTGTTATAATCAAATTTAGTTATCTTTCTTGAAGAAATTGGCCAACACTTAATAAATTATGAGTTAAGTCAAGCACATAAAGAACATGATAGATATGCCTTTCGTTACTCTCATGCTGTGTACGACAAGGACACCTTGCTGTCAACAACTTGCTACTATGAGTTGAAATTGCAATGTGATCGATCTAGCTGCTTAACAAAACAATATGTATTCTCTATCATGCAGGAACAAACCAAATACAATGTACTTTAAAGATTCCTCTTGGTCAATTATGAAATAAAATTATTTCTTCCTTTCATCTTCTTTTGTAAAATTAGCTTTATCTTTTACCTTTTTATTATTAAACCATCAATTTTTTTGGAATAATTACGGATCCAACATTTTGTACATCTAAATTAGAAATATTTGGATTGATGCTTTAACTATCTGCAAATAATGCAAGAAGATTCATATAATATCTTAGAACTTGATCTTAAACTTTTGTTATGCTATTTTCCCTTGTTGTCTCTTTGATCCTCAAGCCCCTTCTGCTACTTTTAGGATGAATTTGTAAGACCCCCTATCATGAAGACATATTCTAGAAAGTGTAAAATGGGGAATGTCCATCATGAGAATAGGGAATAATGGTTAGGAGAGAGAAAAGAGCATGGGAGTGAGGGAKAATGTGGGCAAAGGGTAATATTAGGTCTGCCAGGTCAGTAGGGAGCATCATCGTTTTCTTTGTACCTTCATATAGGGCTAGAGCATAGTGAGAGCTTACCCACCCTCTTGAATAGGTGGGGTGACTGCAGTGCCTACGGGCCATTTTGTTTGTATTGCCTAGGGGCTTCTCTTCATTTTGAATACTAGAACATTGTGAGGAAGTTACCTCACAGAATTCCTCAATCTTTTGAATCAAACTTGTCAATTACAAGGGTGTGGGAGGCACCCGCACCTCTAACTTTTAGGTGCCTTCCAAGAGTTCTAGACAATTGTAAGGTTAATTATCCTAGAGCAATCACTTAGTACATTTCACATAGCAAAGGACCTTTTAACATTCCAAAATCCAAAGGGATTTTGTAAAAAAACTAGAAACTACCGGAAGCTTTACACTTGAATGACTTCATCTTTGAATGCACAAATTACATTTAGTATATATAGTCTCTACTTCAATTTTTTTAGTTGAATTTACCAAGCCCATGTTATTTCTATATTTATTTTTCTGTCAGGTGAGAAATATCAAATGGATTAGTCGTAGGACTATGTTTATGCACAATTTATGTGTTTATATATCTTGTCTGAAACTTGAGAGGCTATAAATGGTGTAATCAGCTCTAGCTTTGTTACTTTTGCAGGAGGTGGATTTCGTGAATCCAAGAGAGCCTCTAATTTGAGTGAAGTTTTGGGCATAAATATATCACCTTTACAGGTAAGATTAGTATACATACTACTTTCTTGACGGCTGATTAGTCAGGATTGTTAATCATATATGCATTTCTTCTAGATTCTTTGTTCTTATTTTTATTTTTTACACGGGATGGTTTTGACCCATTGCCCCACTAACTCCAAGGAATTTTCCATTATTCTCGGATTATTGCTTAGTACCTATTTATTTGGATTTTGAACAGGTTGTTCAGAGCCATTCACCATTTAAACACCTTGTGAACAGGTATAGTTTAATTTTGATGGGAATTGGTGTCTGAAACATTTATTTTACAGGAGTTCATGGCTTCCAAATATTAGATGAAATTCCAAACCCCAGTCTTCAAATGTTTTAAAGACATTTCTGTATTGAAAATTGAAAATTCCTACTGTTATATTTTGTTAAAAAATAACTTTGAATACCTCGGTAAATATTTACATTAAAAGGATTAAAATGGATCATTAATGATTACATTTAGCCAATATGAGGCACTAAATTTCTGCCCCTCCAATAATGATATTAGATAAGTTTGGTTTCACATAAAACACAAATATTTCTTGTTTGGTAACAGAAAGGATGTAAATTTTAGATTATGATAGCAGATTATAGAGGCAGTGACAGCCATAGCATAGTCCGGCTACTTTGGATGCTCAAAAGCTTCTTTTACTAAAACTAAAGAACTTCAAACTTCAAGTGGTCATAATGATTATTTTACTAAAACTAATGAAGTTCAAGCTTCAAGCTTCAGCATTGGTTCTTGGTTTTAATTGTTCTTTTTCTTTCTATTGCTCCTTGTTGAGCTTGTCTTTTGATTGTTTTTGTTTCTCTTTTTCTTTCGCCCCATTTTGGGGTTTGGATCTTGAACAAATGGAAAGCTGTATCTTGTTCCAAAAAACTTCCTTTGAGTTTGATCTCACATTACAATTTCTGTCAGATATGAAAATGAACTTGTGATTGCTGTTGGAAAAGGAGAACCTGCTGCAGTGATGTCTGAATATGGATTTCGGTAAGCTTTTGTTCTGATAGAATTATGTGGTTTTGTTTATATTATATCAACTTGATGAACTGATCCATGCCATATGAGCTTTATTCAAAATTTTCTCTTCAGGAATGTTCTTTCAATTGATGAATATGCATCCTTCTTTGATAACATTGATCCACTGGCACCATATAAGAAATGGACGACTATAAAAGGTGCTAATCATGAAAACACTGTCGCAGATGTTGCTGAAAAGAAGAAAATTTGCTCTGAGAGAGTTGAGGCTACCTTCATCTTTAGTGATTCTGTTGATTGGAGCAGGGATATTCAGGTTGCCTTCAGCTTTAGATAGATTTTTATGGCCTTTCTTCTTTATGCCTTCTATTGAAAGAATTGCTTTTTTTCATTTCCTTCCAATTTCACTGAGCTAAATGACTAAAAGTAGTAGTAATAGTCAACTTCTTTTCTGTGTTTAGAAAACGTAGACCTCTTTAAACATGCAGAACAAACTGAAGTGACAAATTTTTCTTCTCTCTGCCCCTTCGAAGCTTTGGGTTGCATAGTTTGTTTCTCTCTCATACTGATGGGATACTATTTCCTAACGTTTCCATTTTTAAGGAGTGACGAAGCCAGGCTATCACTTTTCCTATGAGATCTTAGAGATCTCCATAGGGTACAGTTTTTATCTTGAGAAAACTGTTAGTTTTTTGTATTGCACCCTTGCTATGAAGCAATCATTATGTCTTATTGACTTCTTTCTTTCTGAACTCCGTTTGGTATTAAGTTATATTCCTATTTTACCAATTTGATCCATTTAGCAGCCTGGCTCATGCTATCAACGATTACTTTCCATTTGTCACCAATTGCTTCAAGTAGGAATTACTTCTAACTAGTGGTTTCTATCCAAAATTAGGTATATTTCAAATCCGAAGACTTGAGAAACATCCGAAGGCTATTTTTGTGGACTCAATTACTTCTGATTTTAACTTTTTTTCACTTTTATTGTGAGTTCCATACTAACATGAAATCTATTTCCATTACTGATATTATCAAGTAATATCAATAGCTTCTTCTGATTCTAAAATAATGATATCATATCGAAGTTCTGGCTCATGCATACCTAATTCATTCTTTTTCTGCTAAAAACCCTTTTTTATTCAATAAATGGACACTAAACAACTTAGTATTGCTAAAAATGAAAGATCAGGAGTCTGTAAACATGAGAGGTCTATATTCTAAGTGAAATAATGGTATCAGGTACTTTGTGATATTTTAAGAACGGGAGGTCTTCCTGGAAGGGAATTTGGACACCAACCGGACTTGTATTTTGCACACGATGACCTTGAATACCAGGTTACCACTTGTAATTTACTCTTAAGATCATTTCATAATTCATTTCCATTGTTCCTGTTTTCTTCATTTTCTTGAATGTGTGATGTGGCTAATATTGCAACTAACAAAGTTCTTTTCAAGGCAGGCTGCTTTTCCCTGTGAGCGTTTTGGTATGGGAGCTTTCAGGATTGCATTAGAATCCATCTACAATAGGTAAGGCAGATGTTGCCATAGACGTTACTTCTTTCTGTTAGAAGTTTGGATAGTTGTTCATGCTGTCTTTCTGATCATTGTAATTTCTGTTAAACGAGTAAATGATTCAGTCACAATTTTGCCCACCATAAAGTAAAAGAGTCTGCAATTTATCTCTGGTAACCAATAGAATTTTGTGTTATGAAGTTTTAGGGCCGGTTTGGTATGCCATTTGGATTTTGTTTATTGTTTCCATATTCACTAATTCAAATGGTGGATTTATTTTTTAAACTATTTTTGGATCTTGTGATTCAAATGATGGAAATTTTGAAAACGACATTTTTATGATTTCAATGTTTTCAGATTTTTAATTTGAAACTTTAAAATGCAGAATTACAATTAAAAAAAAAAAGATAAAAACTTCAATAAATATATTATTTCATGTTATAAATTCATTTTTATTTTTGTTAAAATTAAAACACGTAATATATAATATATGTTAAATTATATAATATTGTAATAATAATTCTACAAATTTATAACTTATATCTTGGTAAATTTCAGAACAATTTTTTAATTGAGATTTAATTTTTAGATTTACTATCAAACACGTATCTGAAAATATTGAATAACTTTTTTTTCTTTATTTTTTTTAACAAGAAAACAACTTTTCATGCAACTCTATTTTTATTGTATTCTTTGTTTTCAGATCATCAACCAAACACACCCTTATAGTCCTACTTTGAAATGTAAAAGATAAATTTCCATTTTCATTTTGTAGGTAGTACTATAGTCTCTCTCTTATATATTTGAAAAGAAAACCTGAAAGTAACAACTGGTTTTCAATAAATTATATAGATTCTTCATGACATGCGGCCAGGCCATAGCAAAGATGATACATTTTAGGACTGCAAGTTTAGGCAAGATTGAGCACTGATTGCAAGCAACCGAAGGATAAAAATATCCGAATTAAAGGAGCCATTATTTAAATATGTAAGGCTAAATAGACAATGTTTAGCAATTCATAAGGCAGCTATTAAAGTCTCTGCTTGGAAATTGGACTGCTCATTGTCACTTATTTGCTCATAGTTTGTTAGTGCTGGTGTTTCACTTGTTCAATCAATGAATATGCATCCTTTTCAGTAGCTCTTCGTTGGGGAAGACACTTAGTCCGAAGAAGAAATGAAGTTTGCTGACTATGAATCTGCTCTAAGAGTTCAAAAGTGATCTACTGACCGTACAAAATTGTATTCGAAGCACTTATATCCTATTTTATGATGCAGGATTCATCCCCATGCTTTGCAGTATACGTGCTTTGGCAAACCAAACCCACTCGTATTTCGAAATGCAGAAGCTGTACTTAAACTCGTGTCATCAATTGATCAAAACAAGACGGCTGCAAATAATGAAAGTCGTCACTTCAAGACTCTATACATGATAGGGGATAATCCTGCCGTCGATATCAATGGTGCAATTCAGGTCTGGTGGTCTGAACTGGCAAAGAAGACGCCTCTTTTTTGTGTCTTTCCCTGTTTTCTGTTGCTTATTTACCAGACTTGTTATCATTCATTGGACTTGATACTTCTGTAATTCAGGCTGGAAGTCCTTGGTTTTCTATCCTCACTAGGACAGGGGTCTTTAAGGGAAGAGCAAATCATGACAAGTATCCTGCTAATCTGGTAGGTTAAACGCCTCTCTTTAAACATATTTTCCTCTTATTTAACTGTTTTGGAGAAAAGCAGAGGGTGAGAAGTGTTTTTAGCTAATTAGAGGTCCTCAAAATTTTAATCGTGAAATGATTATTAAAATTTTAAGATTACTTAATACTTTTAGTTAGAAACTACTACAATTACTGTTGAGCTAAGCTCGCGTTGGTGCAAAAGTGTTGAATTATTAGTGCTTTCTTGGAAAGTACTTCCCCATAAGAAAACACTTTTATCAAATTCCTACATTCTTCTGCAGGTAGTTGACACAGTAGAAGAAGCAGTGGAGTACATTTTCAAGAAGGAAGGGATTTCATTGGAATGATACGAAGGAGAAAACAAATTAATAATGATATTCTTTGCTGGCTAAGGCACGGTGTCGATGAGATTCGTTTCCTCTCATAATTAATGGCGATCGTTCCACCAATTTTTTTTTTCTTCGGAGTACAACAAGTGAGGGGGGATTCGAACTCATGACCTCTTGGTTAGGGACAAATGTCAATTACCACTGAATTAAGTTCATGTTGGCATTATTCTATAAATTTTTATGGATGAAAATGATTTTTTAATCTACATTTTATCTTTTCACATTCGAAATATAGAAGCCATCTGCAAATGCCGGTGGAACCTTAGGAAGTTCATTTTAAAAATTTCACTTAGATAAAAGAAACGTAGGTACCAGAGTGGCAATAATTTTAATGGTTATATAGGATCTTCACTCATCGATCCTTTCTAAGACAAACATCTTTCACTGAGACTTCAACTTTGCTCTCACTCATTCGATTGATCTACCTTTTGGATCCTCCTAGCCTCCTTTGGGGGAGGGATTTGTGTGAGGTACCTACTCCCCCGTAAACCATATATTCAATATATATATAGTAAAAAACAAATTTTGAGTATGGAAGTTTGAACCTACGACCTCTAAAAAAGAAGTAGATGTCAATTACTGTTAAATTGTGCTAATGTTGGTAACCATATACTCAATTAATTAAGTTTTCCGTTCAAAAATGATTCGTGACTAACATAAAACATTAGAGTGACAGGATCCAACTCTCTTTGTAAGTATGGGTTCTTTTCATGTTTGATTTTTTGGTTGGTTTTAGCAAATAAATGTTCAGTTTGATTGTTTTTTTTTTTCTTATTTTATTTTATTTTTATTTACTTGAATTGTGGCTAGGCTTAAGGTATTTTCATGGTTGGATTTACATTTTTTTTTTGGTGCAAAGGGATTTACATACTGTTGTGGCATGATTTTAGTGTTTGTTAATTGAATTTTGTGTGATTATTGACCAATTTGTCGACAATTTTCTAATTTGTCATCAAGACGTAATAATTTCATTGCTTATTAAATTCTAGAGTTTGATTTTGATTAAATGAAAAGTTTATGAAGTTAAATATCATTTCCAAGAAAAATAAGAGACCCTACACCTCTTACTCTTAAGCACACCACAACTTTTAAATTAAAAAGTATCCTCACATCTTTTATCTCTCTTTATAATAAAAGCATTATTTTTATCATAAATAAGTATTTAAATCAAAACTTCTCTACCCACGTGTAAATAAAATCATTTCACCTTTTTTTTTCTAAAAAAAAAAATAACCCTTTTACATTGTAGTTGATTAATTCTATGATTTTTTATTTTACTTTCAATTACAATTAATAATAGAATTTCAAAATTTTTAGAATTTTGATAATTAAATTGATTTTAAAAACAAATTTATAAAAAACGTCAAAATTAATAATTTAAATAAATTCATAAAAATGAAAAATGACAAGAATGTAAAATGTTTTAGAATATAAAAAAGATGGGATGTAAAGGTTTGGTTAATTTATTTCTAAAAATTAATTCTGAAATTTACGACTTTGCCTTTAATTATAATTAATAATATTTTGAATTTTAATAATTTTGCAAGGACTCATACAACTATATAAATAGCTTTATTTTCTACTTTTTTTCCAACAAAGAAATGTGTCTTCTCCTCTTGGTGTTTTCTTTTTTCCTTCCTCCCTCCCTTTCCTTATTGTAAACTATCTAGATTTAGCGTGATATAATATAATAGCCTATCATACCAATTTTTTCTTTTTTAAGTATAAGATTTGGTGGTAGTGATTTGAATTCACGAAGATATGTATCTTAATCCATTGAGCTATGTATATTAATGTTTTTTGTAAAAAAACAAAGTAGTGTTGTATAGCAATTATATATAACATTATATTAACATGAAACACTTTAGGAAAAATAATCTCAAACATGAACAAATCTCTCATGCAGATATTTTGAAGTTATTTTATGATTGCAAAAATTATATTTTATAATTTTCTTATTTCATTATTTATATATATATATATATATATATATTTGGTTCTAAAAAGTTTATGTAAGGTTAGAATTCTTTAATTTATTGTCTTACAAAATTTTTAATTATTTACAATAAATTATTAAACTGGCCTTAATTTTAATTTTTAAATTGGAAATATCATTGAGAAGGCACGTGCTAAAGACTAGGAAAAGTATCTCACACCTATTAACCCTTTAGAGAAAAACATTGCCAACAAATATATGTGGGACCTCATTCCCGTGGATACTCGATTCGTCGGAGATTCTTCGGTTTGACCGATGACAGGGTCAAATCGTGGATCCCAATCGGATTCCCCAGTGAGGAGGAGGGGAGGTCCCCCTGCCTCGACCCGGCCTATTTAATATTTTATTAGTATTTATATTTTTATATATAATAAATTTTATATATATATATATATTAATTTTTATACTACTTTTATAATTTGTTGGGATTAGTACATTGATAACCTCTTTAGAAATCATAATTACAAAAAATGATTGAAATAGATAGAATTTACACTTTTGTCATGAAACAACGTTAATTATGATGGTACCCATCACACAAATTATTAATATATCTTTTTGTATTATTAAATAATTTTTAAAATAACAAATTGGTAAATTGGGAGGTTACAATTTAAATCCCTTAAATTTTGCTCAATTGTACTCTCCAAAAACTAAAAAATATACCAAAACCACAAAAAA